TGAAAGGGACGTGAGGGAATTTTTAGGGGGGTCTTGGTGGGTTTAAGGGGGTGGCAAAAGTTCTGGAGGTTTTAGGGGGGCTTATGTTGGGCTTTAGGGTGTTTTTGTTGGGCTTTAGGGTGTTTTTGTTGGGTTTTAGGGTGATCTCGGTGGGTGTAACAGGGCCGAATAGGTTGAGAGGAGTTTTAAGTGGATTTTCGGTGTTTTTGGGGCTCCAGGCAGGCGTAGAGAGGTGACAGGGTCGGTGTGGGGGTTGAGGAGCAGCACGGGGGGATTTGGGGGACTCTAGGGGGTCCCCAGGAGGGGGGAGTGGTGTGGGACCCCCTGGTTCCATCCTGGGGTCTGCGTGGGGCAGCTCCAGGCCTCGGTGTGGGGCACCCAGGAGCCCTGAGGGGGGCTCAGTGTGTGCCCCCTGCCCCCCAAAATCCTTCCATGGGTACCCCAAAACCTTCAGTGGGGCTCAGCGTGTGCCCCTGCCCCCCAAAATCCTTCCATGGGTACCCCAAAACCTTCAGTGGGGCTCAGCGTGTGCCCCACGCCCCCCAAAATCCTTCTATGGGTACCCCAAAACCTTCACAGGGGCTCAGCGTGTGCCCCACGCCCCCCAAAACCCCTCCATGGGTACCCCAAAACCTTCAGGGGAGCTCAGTGTGTGCCCCCTGCCCCCAAAATCCTTCTGTGTGTACCCCAAAACCTTCAGTGGGGCTCAGCGTGTGCCCCACGACCCCCAAAATCCTTCTATGGGTACCCCAAAACCTTCAGTGGGGTCCAGTGTGTGCCCCCTGCCCCCCAAATCCTTCTATGGGTACCCCAAAACCTTCAGTGGGGTCCAGTGTGTGCCCCCCACCCCCTAAAATCCTTCCATGAGTACCCCAAAACCTTCACAGGGGCTCAACCTGTGCCCCCCACCCCCTAAAACCTTTCCTTGGGTACCCCAAAATCTTCAGTGGGGTCCAGTGTGTGCCCCCCACCCCCCAAAATCCTCACAGGGGCTCAATCTGTGCCCCCCACCCCCCAAAATCCTTCCTTGGGTACCCCAAAACCTTCAGTGGGGCTCAACCTGTGCCCCCCACCCCTCAAAGCCCCTCCATGGGTACCCCAAAGCCTTCAGTGGGGCTCATTGCATCCCCAAACCTTTCCGTGGGGCTCAGCTCCCATCCCCAGCCCCCCAAACCCCCTCAGGGAGGCTCAGCTCCCACCCCCAGCCCCCCAAAACCCTTCAGTGGGGCTCAGCCCGTGCCCCCCGCCCCCTGGGACACCCCCAAACCCCCTCAGGGAGGCTCAGCTCCCATCCCCAGCCCCCCAAAACCTTTCCGTGGGGCTCAGCCCATGCCCCCCACACCCTGAAATCCTTCCATGGGTACCCCAAAACCTTCAGTGGGGCTCATTGCATCCCAAAACCTTTCCGTGGGGCTCAGCCCGTGCCCCCCGCCCCCTGGGACACCCCCAAACCCTTTTGGGGGTCTGAGCCCCAGGCGCTGCCCTTGCCCCCCAGGGTAACTACGTGCCCGAGCGGGAGGAGGCGGTGGGGGCGCAGCGCCCCGAGTTCGACGTGGTGCTGCTGCTGTCGCTGACCAAGTGGGTGCAGCTCAACTGGGGCGACGAGGGCCTCAAGAGGCTCTTCAGGAGGGCCTTCAGGCACCTGCGGCCCGGGGGGCTCCTGCTGCTGGAGCCGCAGCCCTGGGAGTCCTACCGCAAGCGCAAGGGGCTCACCGTGAGTCTGGGGGGGTCTGGGGGGTCACTGAGGGGTTTGGGGGGTTACAGAGGGGTTTGGGGGGTTACAGAGGGGTTTGGGGGTCACTGGGGGGCTCCTGCTGCTGGAGCCGCAGCCCTGGGAGTCCTACCGCAAGCGCAAGGGGCTCACCGTGAGTCTGGGGCGTCACTGAGGGGTTTGGGGGGTCACTGAGGGGTCCTGGGGGGGTTACTGAGGGGTTTGGGGGGGTCACTGAGGGGTTTCGGGGGGGTCACTGAGGGGTCTGGGGGGGTCACTGAGGGCTTGGGGGGGTTACAGGGGGGTCACTGAGGGGTTTGGGGGGTCCTGGGGGGGTCACTGAGGGGTTTGGGGGGGGGTCTAGGGGGGTTTACAGAGGGGTCTGGGGGGTCACTGACAGGTTTGGGGTGGGTCACAGAGGGGTTTGGGGGGGTTACAGAGGGGTCGGGGGGGCAGTGTTTGAGGGGTTTTGGGGTCACTGAGGGGTTTTGGGGGGGTCTAGGGGGGTTACAGAGGGGTCTGGGGGGTCCTGGGGGGGGCACAGAGGGGTTTGGGGGGGTTACAGAGGGGTTTGGGGGGTCCCTGAAGGGTTTGGGGGGTCACTGAGGGGTTTGGGGGGGTCTGGGGGGGTTACAGAGGGGTCTGGGGGGTCACTGACAGGTTTGGGGTGGGTCACAGAGGGGTCTGGGGGGTCACTGAGGGTTTGGGGGGGTCACTGAGGGGTTTGGGGGGTCCCTGAGGGGTTTTGGGGGGGTTGGGGGGGTCACTGAGGGGTCAGGGGGGTCACTGAGGGGTCTGGGGGGGTTACAGAGGGGTTTGGGGGGGGGTCTAGGGGGGTCACTGAGGGGTTTGGGGGGGGTCTAGGGGGGTCACTGAGGGGTTTGGGGGGGTTACAGGGGGGTCACTGAGGGGTCTGGGGGGTCCTGGGGGTCTGGGGGGTCACTGAGGGGTTTGGGGGTCAGTTTGAGGGGCAGCAGAGGGCTCATAAAGGGGTCTGGGGGGATCTTTGGGGGCTATAAATGGGTCTGGGGGGATCTTTGGGGGCTATAAATGGGTCTGGGGGAGTCATTGGGGGGCTATAAAGGGGTCTGGGGGGATCTGTGCCTTTAGGGGGGCAGGACTGGAGGTGAATCTCTGGGTTTTGGGGGGGTTTCTGACCCCTCTTTGCCCCCCAGGAGACGATGTAGGGATATCTCTAATTTTGGGTGGAATATCTCTGTTTTTTGGGGTTTAATCTCTGTTTTTTGGGTTCTCCTGACCCCTTTTTCCCCCAGGAGACGATCTAGGTTATTTTTGGGTGGGATATCTCTGTTTTTGGGGCCGAATCTCTGTTTTTTGGGTTTTCCTGTCCCTTTTCCCGCCCAGGAGACGACCTGGGTTATTTTCGGGTGGGATATCTCTGTTTTTGGGGCCAGATCTCTGTTTTTTGGGTTCTCCTGACCCCTTCCCCCCCCCAGGAGACGATCTGGGTTATTTTTGAGTGGAATATCTCTGTTTTTGGGGCCGAATCTCTGTTTTTTGGGTTTTCCTGACCCCTTTTTTCCCCCCAGGAGACGACGTACCGGAACTACCAGCGCATCCGGCTGCGTCCCGAGCAGTTCCCGGCCTACCTGACCTCACCTGAGGTGGGGTTCGAGCGCTGCGAGCTGCTGGGGACCCCCCAGCACAGCTCCAAAGGTGAGCCCCCCAAAACTGCCCCCAATCCCCCCAAAATCCCCCCGCCCGGGGGGATCAAAACAGCATTTTAGGGTTTTTTTTTAAATGAGTTTTTATAGGGATTTTCTGAATTTTAGGGGTTTTTTAATGAGGTTTTCTGAATTTTAGGGGTTTATAAGGATTTTTTGAATTTTTGGAATTTTTTAGGACGCTTTTAGGGTGTTTTCAGGGATTTTAAAGGATTTTTTTAAGGGTATTTTAAGGATTATTAAATATTGTTAAAGGTATATTGAGGGTATATTAGGTATTATTAAGAGTATGTTATTATTAAGGATGTATATATATATTACATATGCTATATATAATATATAATATACATGATATATAGATGGATATATATAGTATATATGTTATATATATATTATGTATATATTATGTATATATGTATATATTATGTATATATTATGTATATATATATTATGTAATATATTATGTATATATATTACATATAGTGCAATATTATTAGGGGTGTATTAAGTATTAAGATTTTTTAAAGTATTATTTAAGAATTATTAAGTATTAGAATTTTTCATGCTTCTTTTTTGGAATTGGGGATTTTTCAGGACTATTTAAAAATTTTTAGGGATTTTTTAGGACTGTTGAGGGTATGTGGAGGATGTTCTTTGGAGGTTTTAGGGTTTTTTTAAAAGGGCATTTTTAGAGCTCTTTTAGGATTATTTAGGGATTTTTTAAAGGTTCTTTGGGGTGTTTTATGGTTTTTTAAAAGGATATTTTCAGAGCTCTTTTAGGATTATTTAGGCCATTTAGGGATTTTTAAAGAGTTCTTTGGATGTTTTAGGATTTTTTTAAAAGGGCAGTTTTAGAGCTCTTTTACGATTATTTAGAGTACAATTAGGGATTTGTTAATAGTATTTTGGGGTTTTTAGGGTTTTTTTTTAAAAGTAAGATATTTTTGCAGCTCTTTTATGAGTTTTTAAGGTAGATTTAGAGATTCTTTCCTGTTTTTTGGGGGGATTTTATTTTTTTTTTGAAACCAGATTTTTTTTTTTCAGATTTCTAACAATATTTTGGGGTACCGGTGTGAGGAGGGGCTGTGAATTTGCGCCCCCTCCCCAATTTTCTCTCTTTTTTCCCCACCCAGGTTTCCAGCGGCCGATTTATCTCTTCCACAAGGGCCGAGGTGATGCCCCCTGAGCCCCCCCCCGAGCCCCCCGGGGTGGGGGAGGGGCGGGGGGGCTGCTCCCCTCCCCCCCGGCTGCCAAAAGGGGGGAGGGGCTGCGCGCGCCCCCCTCCCCCCGGATTTTGGGGTGTTCCCTCCCCCCTCCCCCCCCCGGGCGTTTGCCGTGGTTTGCTCCGAGCGGGGGGCGGGGCCCCGAATAAAGGAGGTGATTGGTCAGCGGAGGGGGCGGAGTCGTTTTTTGGGGGGCGGGGCCACGGGGAACTTGTACGGGTTTATTATTTTGGGAGGGGATGGGGGGGTCACAGAGGCCGTCAAAAATAACAAATTTATTTTTGGGGGGGAAAAAGGGGGATTTGGGGTGAAAGAGGAGATTTGGGGAGGGGGAAAAGGGATTGGAGGGAAAATCGGGATTTGGGGGCGGGGTCACAAGGGTCACAGAAGCCTTCAGAAATAACAAATTTATTTTTGGGGGGGTGAAAAAAGGGGGATTTCAGGTGGGGGAAAGGAGCATTTGGGGAAAAAAACCGGGGATTTGGGGTGGGAAACATGGGGTTTGGAGGAGGAAAAGGGTTTTGGATAGAAAAAGGGTTTTGGGGGGGGAATGGGGTTTTGTGGGGGGATAAAGGCGGGTTTTGGGGGGGGTCTCTCCCGTTAGCCCCTCCCCACTGCAGCCGTTTCCGGTACATGGCGAAGGCGGCTCCGGGGGGGGCGCGGGTGGGCCCGGGAGGGCTCGGGGGGCGCTGGAGGGGGCAGCCACGGCCCCCCCCCGGTGTTCGCCGCCCCCTTTGCCAGCACGGCCAGGCACGGCCCGGGACCCTGGGGGGGCACAGGACACGGTGGGGTCCCGCCGGTACCGGGGGTGGGGGAACGGAAACCGTGGGGTCCCGCCGGTACCGGGGGGGCACCGGGGATGGATTTGGGGGGGCCTCACCTGCGGGGGGGGGCGCGGGCGGGACCCCACGGCGCGGCCCCGGTACCGGGGGGGGCACGGCCAGGCTGACGAGCCCGCGGAACAGGCGCTGGGCGGGCGGCACGTTCATGGCTGGAACCGGGGAGGGATTCCGGTTAAACCGGGAGCGGGGTGGGGGACATGGACCCCCCCCTCATACCGGACCCCCCTCCTCACCCCCCGGTCCCGCGGTTACCGGCGGCCGCCGCCCCGCCCAGCGCCGAGCGCGCCGCCCAGGAGCTGCCCAGGAGCGCGGCCGCCGCTCGGGGGGCGTCGAACGGAACCGGGGGGATCCCACCGGGACCCCCGCGGGTGCTGTGCGGGGTGGGCGTGGCCAGGAACGGCTCCCCGGCTGCTTCATCCTCTTCATCCTCATCATCATCCTCCTCCTCATCCGGGATGGGCGCGAACCGCACCTGGGAATGGCGGGAGGGGAGAATTGGGGTCCCTGAGCCCCCCCGTCTCCCGGTTTGGGTGTCCCGGTCCCGCCCGCGACCACCCCGATGTCCCGGAGGGTCCCGTTCCCCCCTCCCCCACCTGCCGGTGTCCCCCCCCGCGCCCCCCCCGCCTCAGGATCCCCCCGGGCGGCGGCGGCGGGAGCGCGCGCGGCCTCATGGCGGCGGAAGCCACGCCCTCTTTCCGCCGCTGGCAACGCCCCCCCTGTTAACGGTGACCGCGCCAAGATGGCGGCGCCTGCCTGACCTCCCCAAGATGGCGGCGCCCACGAGGCCACGCCCTCCCCAAGATGGCGCCCGCATCTTCCCGTGTCCCCGAAGCCGCAGGTTCGAGTCCCGCCTCGGCCGCTGCCCCAGTTCACTCTATTTTACCGCAAAATGACCACTGCACATCCCCCGTGCTGTAAAAATCGCGAGTTTATTAAAAAAGGCCCCAAATCGCGCAGGAAGCACGGCAGAGCTCGCTATGCTCTGTCCCTTCCTCGCAGTGAAGCAGCAGCAGAGCAGCGAGTGCCGCCCCCTCCCCGGGTGCCCCAAAAACCCCCGGGGTCCCCCGGGACCCCTTCCTGGGATCCCCCCGGCTCAGGGTGGCCCCGGGGGCGGCCCCGGGGGCAGGCGGGCCAGCTGCTGCGGCGTGGCCAGCGCCCGGAGCAGGCGGTTCTCTCTCTCCAGCGCCGCCCGCCGCTCGCTCAGCTCCCGGATCTGCTCCCGCAGCGCCTCCACCTCCTCCCGCACAGCCAGCAGCAGGTGCGACTTCACCAGGTCCTGGAGGGCACCGTCAGGAACCTCCAAAGCCCCCCAATTCCTCCCTTCCAGGACCCCAATCTCTCTAATTCCTCCTTTCCAGGACCCTGAGCCCCCCCTACTCCTCCCTTCCAGGACCTCAATCCCCCTTGGGATCTCCCTTCCAGGACCCCAAGTACCCTGTTGCCCCCCTTCCAGGACCTTGAGCCTCCTTATATATATCTCCCTTCCACGAACCCCAGCTCCCTGACTTCTCCCTTCCAGGACCAGAAACCCCATGACAACCCCATCCCAGGATCCTGAGTCCCCCAAATCCTCCCTTCCAGGACCTCAACCCCACATCTCATCCCATCCAGGACCCCAAACCCCCCGATTTTCCCTTCCAGGACCCTCTCCGCCATGTCCCCCCCGCTCAGTCTCACCATGGCCCTCTCGATTTTGTTGTCGATGGCGGTGACGCCGCTGCCAGTGCTGGGGACGAGGCCAGGATCAGATGGACGGACAGACAGATGGACACCGTGGGTGGGGGAAGGGAACAGCTCCCCCCCCTCCCCCCCACTTTTTTTCCTTCCCCTTTTTTTTGGGGATGGGGGAGGGGAACTCGCGCCCCTCCCTCGCACCTGCCAAGCCCCGCCCCCTCTCGCCCGCCTTAACCGGAAGTTGCGAAGCCGGAAGTGCCGCCCTTACCCCTCGTCCTCGCTCTCCTCGCCAGCCAATCCCAGGCGCGCGCTGAGCTCGGCCCCGCCCCCTGGGCGTGGGCGAAGGGGGTTTAGGGGGCAGCGCCTGTAAACAAACAAAGGTGGGAGTTGGGGGCGTGGTTACCGTAGCCCCGCCCATCGGGAGACCCCGCCCACCTCACCTGCTGCACGAGCTGCGCGAAGGCCCCGAGGGACCGGGGCTGGTGGGGGGCGGGCACGGCCCGGGGGGCGTCCAGCGACACCGGGACCCTCCCGCCGCCAACGCCGCCGCCCCGCGGGGACACGTCTCGCTCGTAGAAATCGCGACACAGCCACCGCCCCCGCCGCAGCACCTCCCCCGGCGACAGCAGGCGGACGAGGCGGAACCGGGACCCGCTGGGGCTGCCGGACGAGGAAGGCGGAGAAGCGGCGGCGGCGCCGGTGGCATCGCCGGCCGCGCTCCCGCTGCCGCCGCGGACGCTGGTGATAGCGAAGCCGCTCTTCTTGCGGCTCATGGGGGCGGCGGCGGCGGGAGGAGGAGGAGGAACATGGCGGGGCCGGCCCGGAGCCGTTACCGGCGGCGGCGGCGGCAGCACCCGGAAGTGGAACCGGAAGTGATGTTGCGCTTTAAGGCGGTGCTTTAGGGCGCGCCCCGCCCCAAGCCACGCCTCATTCAAGGGAAGCCACGCCCATATAGGACAGGCGCTCTTACCACGTGACCTCCCGTCGCGCCGTGGGTCCTCCCGCCGCCAGGGGGCGCCCTCACGGCGGCGGCGCGTCCCGGACGCTGCGTCAGCGCCAATGGAGCGGCGCGAGCGGGAGGCGGGAGCGGCCGGTGAGGGCGGAGGGGAGGGGTGGGGGTGGGCCCGGAGCCCCTCCCGCGCCCGGTGACCACCCGCTGCCCCTCCCCCGCAGGCCGCTAGACCCCCCCGCCATGGGCCAACGCCCCCCGTGAGCCCCCGGCGCCCCCCGGGCGCGGCCGTGCTGGCGGTGGTGGGGGGGGGGGTGCGGCGAAGGATTCCCCCCCCCCCCAACCGTGGGACCCCCGAGAGAGCGACAGGTAACGGGGGAGGGGGGCGGGGAAGCACCGGGAGGGGGGTACAGAGGAACCCGGGGGCCGGGTGGGGCGGGGAGGGAGGGGGACCCCCGGGTTTGGGGTGATTTGAGGGAGGGGGGGGCTGGAGGGTCCCCAGCGCCGGTGTCAGCGGAGGGGCCGGGGGTCCGCAGGCGTTCGGGAGGTTTGGGGTACCCCGGTGTCACCGCGGAGGGGTCGGGGT